AAGTGCCACGCTACTAGTAACAGGTGCCTTACTAGTAGTAACAAGAAACTATTAATTTATTTCTAGACCAGTGATGACCTCCCTCGGGTCCCTCGATCCTTTCGGCCCAAAACGGTTACGGGCGAAGAGTCGAGCAACACTCAGATTGAGACAACGCTGTGACCAAGTGACCAAGACTTCAAGCGAAATTCTATTGAGAACGATATCTAGTGTGAAGAACAACTCGTGAAACCGCTGTTTGCTCACAGAGATCAGCAATAGTCAATATTTTCTACGTGTGTTCAACCACATCTCCCACCTTCACTGACGAAGCCAAGATGGCAGAGTCAGACCTCAATGACCAGCTTTCAATTGAACCTGCGGCAAAAAGAGGCAAAGCTTCATGTTTGAAAGTGTGCTTGCAAGTGGGCTTAGCCGGAAGAAGTGTTTCAGTTTCTGTTCCCAGCGACATCACGGTGTCAGATCTTCGTGTGCAGTTTGCCTTTGCAACTCCGGACTTTGAACATGAGATGGTTTTGATTCTGGGTGATAGGGAGGTACATGACACAGAAAAGCTTTCGGACTTGCACCTCGACGCTGAAATCTTGGATTTTACAGCTGTCCGTGACGAGGGCAAGAAGATTCGAGAAGAACTCAAGAGGAATGTGAGAAATTTTGATCAGTATGACATTGATCGGCTGATGCGTGAAGGTGATCCTGATGGTGTGGAGGAGCTGTGGGGACTTGATCTGGAACATTTATATCGCCAGAACGATGAGATCATTGACCAACTTGATGTAGAACTGCTCAAAGACCTGGAAGCATTCTACAGATTGAAGCAACGAAAAAAATTGCACGTCAGGTGTTTAGGCTGTTGCTGTGGCACTAGCCCATCCTGTGTGGTGTGGGACTTGCAGGGTGAGATGCATGTTATTTGCAACTACTGACTGCTCAAAGTTCAGCGCGATAGCGCGCTGCTGTCAGATCAGACCTGTGTGGATAAAAAGAACGATCACACGCATGCGGGACATTTGTCAATCTTTCCGGCAGAATCCACGAAGCAAACCTCCACCCTGAGCTCGGCGCTGATTGAATTCATTCACGTCCACTCGGTCTGGGTATTCTGTTGTGTTTTCAGCGACCAAGCCACTCTGGGGGGTTTGCAGTCGGACTCGGGATCACTTCCGATTCCTCTCCTGTTGGATCGGTCGATTCCGCAACTTCGCCCCATCCCCTCGCACCGACGCCAGGCTCGAGAAGACTATTTGAGCTCAGAGACCATGAGCCTGAGCAAAGAGGTGGACACATTGAAGAAAGAAGCAGCGACCTTTACGGAGCGCTTGACACAATTTGAGGAGGCCACACTGACACTGAATGAACTGGCTAAGATGGTGTAAGTGTAAGAGTGTAAGATGTAAGGAGTCATAAGGCAAGGTTGCTAATGCTCTTGAGTTCTTGGTTGTTGAATGTTGAAGAATTTTGCAAAGCATCATACAATGCTGGAGGGACTTGGACTCCTACTTTTGGCAGGCTCGATCAAAGGAGCAGGAATCCTACCGAGCATCCACAAGAGATCGTGGCCTCACGATCAAAGTCGTGCAGAAGGCGAAATCCATTGTGGAAGGCTTCTACAAATCCAATGACCCCACATCTCTTTTTGAGCAAAAGGCTGAGCCCAAAGAAACGTGGAGGTTGGGACGCTCCAGGAACGGTGGTCTTGGCTCCAGTGTGATTGCGATGCTCGACACCATCGTTTCAGACTTTAAGAAGGAACAGGCTGATGCAGACCAAGCGGAGCAGGCTTCTGCGGAGGAGCTTGACAAGGCCAGATGCTAGATGCTGGTCCAGTAAGCAAAAACATGCATTTCTTCTTGGTACTTGTCAATCCAGATGATGACAGGTGCGAAGCGACACAAAGTCCCTCTTCGACAAGAAACTTGAGCATGTCTCCAAGCTTCTGCAGGACCCACTCACTCGACATGTTGCCATTTTGCAGCTTCTTTATGATTTGTCATCTTTGCTTTGCAGGAGAAAGCCCGTGATGCGCAGGAGTTGAGTCAAGTGAAGGTGGGCCCGCTCTAGCTTCTAATACAAGTGGTCAGCTCCATTCATCTAATTCACCCAGTTTGAAACTATTTTTCCACAATATCAATATCGACATGCCGAACCATCTAAGCTGCAATTTGTTTAAGTCCTTCTAGAATCCTTGGCACTTTGACCGAGGCGGATGCCGAGCTGAAGACGGCGTCTCTGTCCGCCACTGAAGATGCTCTGTCAAAGCTGGGCAGTGATTGCACCAGCTTGCTAGCAACCTATGAGAAGTTGACAGATGAGCGGCGGAAGCAGATCTTGCAGCTTCAGGATGTCCGAGTTTCTGCTTCGAGAGCAGTAATTTCAACTGTGACTTTAATTGATTTGATGGGGTGATGCGGCAAAGGATTGGACACTTGGAAACTCGGTTTCGACTCGTGGATGAAGAGTTGAAAGCATTCGTTCACACTTGTTGCGGTACCTGCTGTTGTGCACCAGGATGTGGCCGACATCCTCTCGGGTGCCACCGTGGGTTCGCGGACGGGCCTCAATGCGGGGCTGTTGGAGCTGCAGTCCTTGGATGCTGAGGACGATTAAGGAGCTTTAGGTTGTTTCACCGCTGAGAAGATCTCCAGCGTGAGGAAAAGTGTGGAGACATGTGGAGACACATTCCAGCTCTGGTCAACGACGGTCTAGCCTGTAGATTGAAAGGGGGCCGCTTTGCCGGAATACACTAGTGATCAGCAATGGTAGATTCAAGGAAGTTGTATCTTGACTTGACCCGTCTTGACCTTTCTGCAGATCCAATTGGCAAATTTGCAAAAGCTGAGGCGAGAGGGACCTTGGCCCCTGCACCGCACAACCCGACAATGCGGGTGATTGGCTGAGGGTCTCAACGTTGAGGATTCCCAACTCTTCTGTGTCGCCGATTGTAGTTGGACTGAAGAGAGAGAGAGAGAGAGAGCCCCTCTGATTTCTGAAATGCATTGCCAAAGCATGAAGGTGCAATTACAAACTATATATTATAAGGACATCATGCAGATTTCTGCGTCTGAAATGAGTTCAAAGAAACAGTAATCCTGTCATGAAGGGATGGAGGCTGGTCCGGCCTGAAAGTTCGGGCAAGCTTCCACCAGAGCGAAAGAGACAGCTGCACATCAGTTTTGCCTTCTTTGATCAGCCATGAATGACCAATGAGTACTTGTCGACCAAAGAATGACCAAAGATAGCTTCTGCCAGCTTGTGCAGCTCATGGTCCAATCGTTGCTTTGACGGAGACTTCACTGGGAGGACAGACCCAGGTTGCTGCTGGCTGTGCTTGATTTACCTTGCCATGTCCATCAATGATGTCCTAATTCATGTTGTGCGACTTCATAGCTTGATCTCAACTGCAGTATTTTGACGTATTTTGTATCACTACAAAACTGCCCGACTCGCACGACCTACCGCACATGTCCTTGCTCTGGAGCTGCCAAACTACTTGGACGGACAGTGCAAGCTTTCGTCAGAAGGGACTCGGACCATGCTACCCACCATTTCCCGTTTGTGACATTTGCTGGAGTTTGATTGTCATTCACCACCGTATCACCATGTATCACCTTGTATCATCCATCAAACTCATTTTAATTCACATCACCACAAAAAGGCGCGAGAGCTGAGAACTGAGCAACCTCCCAAACAACCCTTGCAGCCATGCTGTGCCTGCAATCCTCATTGCTTGTTGCAATGCCACATACAGTCGTACACAGAAGCATCGTGCATCATTCAAATTGTTGGAGTCTCTATCCATTTAGAATCCAAGCAACCAGCAGCCTAACTTGCACGCGTGGGCAGTACGGCCAAGCTGTTGATGCACTTTAGTCTGTGGATGTACAGTAAATTCAAGAACCGGATGCTTTGTGGCTGAGGCACTGTTGGAGCGGTACACACAAAGTCCTTCCCTCAAGATAGAGAGCTGCATTGATGACAAGGAAGTGACTTCGCTCATAATGATGAGCATGTCTGGATCAAATATATAATTTACTATAAATTCATAAACAATTCCACATGATTCTACGTGTTTGTGTAGCTCCATTGTTGCCAGAGACGCATCCTCTTTCGCAAGGTCACACACTCACCGAGCGCGATGAAGACGGAGAACATCCTCTCTTCCCACAGAGTCGCGTACGTTTCCCCAGTGGTTCTCATCTGACAAAGTTGTTGCAGTAGGAGAAAGAGCAACCAAGAGCTATGACTTGTACAGATTCTTTGAGGATTTTGCTGGCAAAAGCATTCCCAAAAAACATATTGATCCTTTCTTTGGTGTTTTCCATGGCACGGGACGGATTTTCCTTGAGTCTCTGTGGGGCGTATATACTGAGTCTCGTGGACGTGCTGAGCAAAGACCCGGGCACGTTCCAGGCGAAAACGACAGCGTTCCGGTTGTTCCGGTGAGTTCTTCGAAATATCCACTGCCCAGAGAAGAGATGTACTGAAGTATTGAGATGTACTGAGTACTCATTTGTAAGTGACGTGCTTGAAACACTGCTACTCTCAGGTGGAGCAGATGGGCAGGACACCTACTACGGCGAGTTTGTCAATTGAACCTGTCACAATGAATCTGTCGACAATGAACGACTCAGAGCACTAGTAATCTCTTCGACTACCGACAAGGACCTTGCTGCAACGGCAGCTTATTCTCCATCCCAACACATTCCGGCAGTCTTAGGCTGGTGCTGGCCAAGGAGACGCACGCAAGCCAATGTCTTAGCAAGCCCTGGCTCCTTTGTTTCCCAGCAGGCTTTTGTAAGTGCCATCAATTTCAGTGCTTGTTCGGTTTTGATCAGTGGACACTAGTTGATCACGGACCACGAGCCTGTGAGGGTTGGGCAGATTTTGGCAGAATAATGCCACAGGCAACACTCTTTATTTCCGGGGCCAGTCAGAGCTGGACAATTCCCTCTGAACATATTTCTAATGATATCATGTGAAACAAAGCTTCAAGGACTGCTAACGGCTAACGGCAAAATGTTTGCAGCCCCATGACACTTCTGGTCTTGAACGAATTTGACAAAGCAGCGCGTAATATGCCGTTACAAACAAACATGCATGGGAAAAGCTGCTGCCTTCATAGTATTTGGGCCGAAGCTAGCCGAAGCCTACGGGCTGTATTCTTGTTGATTTCAATCAATGTTCCTTCATTCATTTTCATTCGATGCATTTGCTGTGGAACTGTGTGTGTTTGACCATGTTTGACCTGTAGGCTCGAGAGAACAGAATCTCATTTCTCGGGTCCTTCACAAGATCGACACGGACGGGGCTTCAAACTCTTGATCCGAAGCTTTCTCACCGAAATAGCTTTGATGTCCACCCTCTGGCGACTAGTGGTCCATGATGCTCCGGTGCGACCATTTGTTTCCAACATGTTCCAACTGTCCAGGAGAAGTTGACACAGGTAAAGGAAGTCTTCATGAAGATGGACAATGCTCTCACAAGCAAGGCCACATCTGGATGTCCTTCTTGTCGGTGGCAGTCACAAAAAGATGTCAGAAAACCTTCTTCGAAGGCAAGATTAGCAGATTCGGGCTTTTACACATTCAGTCACCCATTTGCGCATGCTTTGCAAAGGCTTCGAACGGGAATTTCACCATCAACTTTAAGTCGAACACCGACAAAAATGGACCCACCTTCCTGGGTTTAACGTTGCCTGGGTCTTCACCAGCAAAAACAGCTCCTCACATTTGACCTGCAGCTATGGACCCTGTACTCACCTTCGATCTGCAGGATTGGTGCATTTCCAGCTTGAAGTTCAAGCATTTCATCAATCCAGCTTGTAGTTTCATGTGCTGGTTCGCTGGGATGACGTTGTTCAGCTTCCCCATCAACACCAGAACCACACCTATGCTGTTCACCACAACAAACACGACCACCAAGATCTCCAGGAGCATAGGTGACAGGTGTCCCAGGTCCTCCACTGACATGCTGCTTTTCCTGATCCGTGATGACATGGTCAGCTGCTTCTTCTCTGGTTGCACACCTGTTGAACTGCTGTTGAGGATCTCCTGCATCACCTTTACGAAGTTGCAGTGCACCATGCTCCTTCGAGTCCACCTTGAAGTTGAGGGATCATTGGTTGTCCTTGTTGTTCTCCATGGGTCAAAGCTGCAACACTTTCTAGGAGGCCAATCAAGTTCATTGGAACTCCAAGACCAAGTGGACCCCCTTAGCTGGGTCTAACAACGTTACTTTCTGGACTCACAATACAAAGCAATTCATTCGATCTGCAACCATGGACCACGCAGCTCCATTCATGAGCCCCAAAAGTAGTATTTGATGACTCCTCTCCATTTATAGCACAAAATGCAACGTGGAACAAGGACTTCACGATTTATTTCAGGTACAAAACCACAAAAAAAAACACAAACAACTCCGAAGCAGAAACCATGGCTGCAATGCTCTGCACATGCATCGCAAGCGCCGGGCGCGGTCCAAACCCTGGTCGGCGGGTTTCCCCTCGCTTTAGCAAGACTGGACGTATGCCAAGTCGCACTACAGTTGAACGGAGTGTGCAATTTGAACAGATGCTGTGAGAGTCGATGTCCTGGTCCAACTTGGCAAACCACGCTCGACATCACAAGGCCAAGGGCCCCAAGGGCCAAGGCAAACGTGATCCAATGCGAGTCGAGTGGATTCAGCGCCTGAAGGCGCTGAATCTGCCGTCGAAGTCTGACTCCTATGCGGGCAGTAGACCTTTTTACCCCTCGGAAAGGTTCCCATCGCTTTTGGTGTCATCGGTGATGTGTGACATGGCAGGACTTTGTGGATTTGCTCCTGCCAAATGTGAGGAGCATGGAAGGTGGTGAGGAGCAGGTTGTTGCAAGAGGCTTAGTTCTCCCAACTGGGCCTGATGCCGCAAAAAAAATATATGTATATATTTTAGATTACTTATATATATATAGTTGTATTTGGCTTGACCCTGTTGGTGGCAATTGTCACATTTTGCATGCCCAATCAAACCAGTTATGCAAGCGGAATCTTTGGAAGCCCAAGCACTTATGACCTCTCAAATGAGTTCAACTGTGTGGTTGGCACTCATGCTGCATTTGATTTGGACCTAGGCCGCACTGCAGCTCGTGCACGAAAGGATTGGACAAGGCAACTCTTTACACTTTTCTGAAGGGTTTCTCAATTCTCAAACTTCTTGAAAGCTGAATCTCGTGACTCATGCGCATGTAGAGGTCTAACATCAGTTTGATCAGGAACTTGGCTCCTTTGCTTGACCGGAGAGCGTCCTTTTCTTAATTTGACGCTCTGGAACAGGTGTGAAAGGAGAAGAGGAGGAGGAAAAGGAAATCAAAGAGACGACGCAGGACTCTGAAGACAAGCATGAATGCTCAGGTGTACTATTCAGATTCAAACATGGGCAATTGATGGAGTCAGTTGTGAATGTGTACAATTAGAATAGCTGGGTCATGTGTTCGTTGAGTGAGAATCGAAAGGACATGAAAGGACATGCGGCTAGCTGACAGTTTGTTGGCGCTTTTAATTTATGATGTTGATATGTCAACCACATGTCTCGGCAAAGACAGAATCAGAATGTGGGTAGCCTGTCGCTACAGATTGGATGACTTCCTTTGGCAAGGTAATCCAATCAAACACATGGGGCACGATCCTGGGCGATTGGCCTTTACTCTCGCAACAGGAGGATGCTGCGAATCCAGCCTTTATGACAGAGGCCCAAATTGAGGATGAGGCACAGAAGGTGCGGAGGAGCCAACGGGAGCAAACCTGTTCTGATTTGTGCCCACCGGACCTCAACGCATTGACGGACAGTGAGTTCACAAGTTGACAAGGGTTGAAACAGAGTTCATACAAGCATCGCTACTAGGAGCAAGAAGCTACTAGTAGCTCCTGGCCTTACTACTAGGAACAAGGACGCTGCTAGAAACAAAGGGCATCGCTACTAGGAGCAAGGACGCTACTAGGAGCAAGGACGCTACTAGGAGCAAGAACAACCATCGAATTTCACCCATAGGTCCCATCATACTGTTTGGTGAGTTGTAAGATGGAGCTTGGCGACATTGTCGACGGTGGTTCTCAGGAATCTCATGGACATGCAGATCTCACAGTTTGAATCGCCCAAAGAATGATGATTTCAGTATGTTTGGTTGCTTTGATTTCAGTACTATTTGCTACTCGGTGCCTAGTATATAGTATAGTACCGTATATCGTATCCTCTTGTGATGGAAATTAATGTCGGTGATGAGCCCAGTTGGTCTCTTGGGAAGTCTTCGCGAAGCTACTGCTACAAGAAGGCGTCGTTGAAAATGCCTGCGGCTGAGCTTGGAGTACAAGACACGGAATAAACCAACAACGATCCAACACAGATTTTGAGTCAACTCTTGAATAATCACCTAAGTTTAAACTACACATCTGGCACACCTTCATTTGCACCATCTTGTTCTATTGGCTTGCCATGTTTTATCTGTACGTTGCAGCACTCCTGCCATGTGCTTTTAAGGTTGTCAGCGGCTTCAACTTGACGCAGGCCATGGCAGAACATGCAAATCTGCATTGGAATGGAAGACAGGAGCAAGGACGCTACTAGGGGCTCCTGGCCTTACTACTAGGAGCAAGAAGCTCCTAGGGGCTCCTGGCATCGCTACTAGGAGCAAGGAGGCTACTAGGGGCGCTCCTGGCCTTACTACTAGGAGCAAGAAGCTCCTACGGGCTCCTGGCATCGCTACTAGGAGCAAGGAC